AGTGCCAGTATGAGAGGGTTTCATGGGAACCGTTTGTTGATCTCATACATATGTTTTTACGCTTCGTAAAACAAAAACATTTGGATTTTTATTATCATATTAAACTCCATACACAGTTAATTCTAGTCCTCGACTTGTTCCTTTTTGTATCGCTGCACTTATTTTCATTTTCTCATTTCAGACTGTCAGTCTGCATGTTAGTGGTGGGGATTTTCAGTGCCTCTTTCTGCAGGTTACATTGTTACACCAGTAGATGGCGACATGTGACTGTCTTTATAAGTGGGTCATTTAATCATTAACTCAACTGATTTGTTCAAAGAATCTGCTTTATTCTGGAATAAAACATGTGATTGAATATATGACTGGATGCATACTTCCCTACTGTATAGTAGGTGAAAAACTGAAAAAAGTACTATGTCTGAATTCACAATATTTATAAAGCAGAAAAAAAGTACCCGGATGACATACTGCTTCGAGTGAGATTCTGAGGTGCATATCCAATGGACATTTTAATATCTCATTCTATTCTGTCTTTACTATCTTGATTTTTTTCTATCTCATGAGGCCATAGGAAAGAAGTTGTCAATGGCAGTGAAAAGACAAAACTTAAGTTGTAGGTCACATGACAATGACAACATGATGGTCATACTACACACATTTATAGAGGATAGTTTTTTAACAGTCGCAAAGCAGGTATGTATTCAAAAGAAGTACCTACTGAGAGAGTATATCACTTTGGACGCAGCCATTGTGTTTATGAGTGAGATGAGTCTACCAAAATTACTGTATTTGTTAATTTTTGGTAGATCGAAAAACATTGATTTAGTTGAAAGTTGTAAAATTTGCGTTCACATTTGAATTTCATTAAATAAACATGTTTAAAGTTCTGTCATGAAACTCTGGCATAGGTCAATAGGTTCTAATTCCATCTGATATAATCCTCCACCTTCCCCAGCTCCACCTGTATAGATATGATACGGGGTAATTTCATGTATGAGTTGTCATGACAGAACTGCAGTCAGCAATCAATCAGTTTGACATTACTACTGTTTCATTCTAATCTATGTGATTTTTGAAGTTTTTAAGAAAGAAGACCAGCAGTGGACTGTGCTAAATGCCAGAACTGAACTACTTGAGTAACCAAAAAACAAAACAACAACTACAAAAAAAACACTTACTGTTCAGCCCTGTTTTTCATTAGCATTTGAATATACAGGCACACTCTCCTTCTCTTACACAAATTCATTTTTCAGTTTTCACTACCTGCTGAGACTTTGATTATATGTCTAAAATATGAATAAAACCTCCACGTACTCTCTCAGAATCCATGCTGATTTATGATTTCCATACAAACATAAAATCTGCAATGCTAAAGATATGAATTATGTATAATATTTTAATAAAGTGTACCCACATATACAAACCCCCTCTTATCATTAGTAAGTGAATATCCCAGCAGTCAAACTTAATTAACGCTTGATTGAGAGATAATAGCTTCAATCAGTCTCGATTGCTCCTGTCAACCGAATTCATGGCGCTATGCTCCATGAGCTAATTTTATTATTGAAAGCACATGTAGGGTAGTAGAGACCAGACCAGCAATCTGAAAGACCAAATTAGAGTCTCAATTTCTGTCACAATGCAGCAAATCTGAATTCTCCTAAAATATGCTTTTTCTTGATGGAAGCTGTAATTTTTTATTTCTGTTAAGAGTAAAATATTACCTGAACATTAAATGTGTGAGATTAGCCCCACCAGAACACCTATATTTTTGAGCAGAATTCTTTCTTTAGAGGCCTGCTATTGCATATGTTTGTAAAATGAATTATTAGATAGGTGAAGGCAGTAGAAAATGTACTTCAAACACCTACATCAATAATAGGGCATCCCTCACCCCTCCCCCATCCTCTAATGGAAATCAAAAGATGGAGTTCACATGTGTTAGGTGATAATGACCTGCCCTGGCAGCGTGTGCCCCTCCTCCACCTCCCACTGCTCGGTGATGAGCGTTCCTCGTCTCTGTAGTGAGTAGAACATGTCTGCCATGCGTCTTCTGTCATTAGTGGAGGGCTGCACCCATAAAAAAAAAACTCATGGGGAGTCAGACACTGACTGCGACGCAATAGCCCTCCTGTGAAGCACATGTAGGAACGTTGGCCCTTAGATTAGTCATCATTAAAGAGATAGTTGTCCTGTGCTCACTATTACCATGCTGCATTGTGGGAGCTAGACTCCACACGCCTTCAGATCTTGACAGTGAAGCTTGGGAGTCAGTTGGATCTAGGTGTGGGCAAGTAATTTGAGAACAAAAGACCACCTCATTTATTTCGGCTCCAGGAACTGTATTTGTTTTCATAGGAAATAACAATTATGTTGTATAGTTAAAAAAAAATGTCAGTCTGATGCTGATATTTGGAGGATTGTGTGGCTGATAATCCAAACAATTCCCGTATAGATCCATATAATTCCAATTTTGGTCTTGGATGCTGATAAGCAGGGTGTGTTCCAGCAGAGTTAGGGGCCGTTTACACAGAATGCGTTTTTCCATTCCAATGCGCTACTTTTTCATTGTTTTTCTATTTGGGCTGGGCAATATAGCTAAAAAATTTATCAACGATATAATGTTTCATATCGTTCGGTATCGATAATTATTGACATTTTTTATAACCCTTTTTAAAACAAAGAGCAATATAATTTTTTTTTATTTAACCACTGCATTTTTAATTTACCAAATTTATTAACACAACAAATATTTTTGTTTTGTTTTAACAGTCAAATAAAAAATAAAATTTAAACAAATATCTCCAGTCCTTTCTTATGTTTTATATGCAGATTAAATAAGTCTTAAAAGGTTAGTTCACCCAAAAATGAAAATTAGCCCATAAATTATTACGCAGCGCTGACCTCAGAGGTCATCCGCACGGAACTGCTTCCGTTTACAACAGTGAGCGCAAGCTATATTAAAGTGATTATTATGTTTTGAATATGGATATTTTTCTTACAAAAACGCATCGATTCGCTACAGAAGGCCTTTGTTCACCCCCCGGAACCGTGTGAGACACTTTTTTTTATGGATGGGCGCTTTTTATTTAACTTGTTTTGGACTGAAGCAATGCAACACCCGCTGAGTGCCATGAAACAGCTTGAAAGATCAAAGACAATTTTTTATATAACTCCGACTGGATTCGTCTGAAAGAAGAAAGTCATATACACCTAGGATGACTTGAGGGTGAGTAATTTATGGGCTAATTTTACATTTTTGGGTGAACTAACCCTTTAAGGAAACTTTTGTCTTGTCTCCCGAGGCCACAGGAGGGAGCAATGACAACAGTCTATAAAAAACGTGCATAATGTCTAAATTAACATATATATAAATCAAATATAATTTCGTAAATTGCATAAACAATTATGAACAAAACAGCATCATGTATTTATGCATTGCTTAATACAAAGAGCCGAAGCGCCATTCACACAGATTGCATTTAAAAACATAAGAGACGCAGTGAATCTTCAAATCTTCACAAATTCGCAACGTGTTTTCTACAAGTTTAAACTTTTTTAACTTTGCATGGCTACATCTCTTCTGTGTGACGCGAGTGCAGCAGTAATATTTGTCCGTCTAAAAAATGCGCTGAATATGCATCTGTGTGAATGGCTTGGTTTCAGTTTTAACCTAATTAAGATCTCTGCATTGAGCTACTATATTTCTCTAATATTTTGAATGCACAACGCAGCAGCGGCGTGTCTCGTGGGCTAGACTAACAAAACATTCAAATGCAACGTCACTTACATCATCATCACCGCATCTCGTGCGCCACTGAGGCTCCCGGACGCACACATAACATTCGATTGCACCGTGTTTGCATTTTTTTTTATTTTAAATTCGACTAATATTCATTCTTTATTCACAATCTCCTCATCACAGGCAGGCACACCACTCATTTCAGCATGTTTTCGTGGGCTGTCTGCGTCACTCATAGCACGTGCCTATATTGTGTGCTATATCGAACATTTTTTCTATCGTTATCGACGAAGGTGTACCGTCGATAAATACCGATACCGTTTTATCGGCCAGGCCTAAAAGTAAATGTGCTAAATGGATGTATATGACCGTTGTTTCTTTTGCAGCATCTCGCACACTAGCACTGCATTTTTAGGACGCTGTGTCAAGTTAAAAGAGTTTAAACTTTTACATGCAGTGCTGCTCATCAATGTTAGTTCCAAAGCAATTGACCAATCACAAGACCCCGGAGGCAGCGCAAGAATTGCGAGCTTTTGTTTTATTTTATTTGATGGCAACATGTCGGAGGAAGCATTCTGCGCTGCGCTTTTTAGGTGCAAATATGTGTTCTGTGTAAACGGCCCCTTAGAATACAAAATATAGTAACCGATCTGACATAAAACACCTGTTCCTGCCGAACCTAGAGAACCCAAAAATGCAGACTAATATCCTTGACAGTTTTTTTTTTTAAGATTTATTTTTGGCATCTTTGCCTTTATTGTGATAGGACAGATCAGACATGACAGGAAGCGAAGTGGGAGAGAGAGAGGGGGGGGGCAGGATCAAGAAAGGTCCTCGAGTTGGGATTCGAACACGGGACACCCAAAGCGCAATGGCACTGTATTTTGGCACGCTGCCCACAAGGCTATCGGCGCCGACAACCCTTGACAATTTTATAAATAATATTATATATCACAATATAGCAAGGCATCTCGCATACAGGTCTAATACACATTAACTCTCACACAATTTAATCATTAATTCACCTGTCCTGTATGTCTTTGGGTTGTGGGAGAAACCAGAGTTCAGTTGGGACTTGAACCTGGGAGCTTCCTGTTTGTGAGACAACAGTGATACACACTGAGCCACTGTGCTACAGGCGAAATTTTTAAGCAAATATTAACATTTTTAGGAATCCCATATCTTAGTACCTACTGCAAATATTGTTCCCTTCGTTGTCTCTTTTTTTTCTAACCATGTGTCTTCCTTCTCCTCTCAGGTGCCTGTGTTGAGGCCCATGGACTTGATGGTGGAAGCAACACCACGTCGCATATTCTCTAATGCTCACACCTATCACATTAACTCCATCTCAGTCAACAGCGACTATGAGACGTACATGTCCACGGATGATCTGAGGATCAACCTATGGAACCTGGAGATCACAAACCGAAGCTTTAGTATCCTTTTACAGTCAGATGGTTGATGACAATCTGAGATAGTGGCATGTCTGAAAAATATTGGGTTTCTGTTTTTTGTTAATGTACAAAAAGAACTTGGTTCATACATACAAATAACCAGCTCATCACCGGGCTTATTATAAGAGTCAGATTGTTCAAATTGAATACTTTAGGTAATGTACGAAGTCAGCATATCTGATATCTCCTACCGTTTGACTATAGTCCTGTTACTTGATGGAAGAAGTGTTTGTTGTAAACCTTTTTTGCATCATATGTCACAGCATCCTTTAACTATTGCAAAATTGCAGTTATGCCCAACCTTCTATGGCTTATTGCTTTATTTTCCCAGTAGTCACTTTGTACCCAGACACAATAAATACTGACAGGCTTTTGTTACTAAACTAAGGACAAGAGGATTCAGCTAAACCAGCAATTAAACAAACCCAATAAACCACCTGCAGACTGTCTCTGCTGTCACTTAATTCTGACAGATAACACCTCTGTGATGTACATTACGCCCATTACCCTTTATCAAGTGTCCGCCACTAATCCTGACCCCTGCTTCGCCGTCCCAAAGGTAAATAGTGTCCAGCTTACTCAGGCACGCATCCCCATCGATCACTATTGATTACTGTTCTCAAGGACCCTGCAGGGCTGATATGCAGAGTCTGTGGACAGTCTGTATGGGTGGTTACGGGTTCTGTGGAGTTGCTCAAGGGAGTCGGGGAGAAGATAAAGCCTGTTATTACCCAAAGGTCACACTGTAAATGTATGATCCTCGCAACATGTCATGACGAATAACCTGTCACTACCCAACACCAACAGATGGATGTGATGCTATATTTATAGCTCCTAGAGCTTTTTTATCAGACTTTTTGATACAAGCGAATTCTCAAAGCGTAGATATCAGATTCTCCTGGGGGAAATTTAGCATGAGAGATTTTCTCAGTTGCAGATTTACCTCTGTAAGCGGGTTTCATCCAATCATTTGGGAAATGAAGATCTGACATAATAATCCACTATATATATATAATGTAGGGCCAGACACATTAATCAAGCAGGACATTTATTGATTTAATGATTCATGGAGAATTTCATGTGCTAGGATCCTTCACTTTGCCTACTCAGATATTGTGGACATAAAGCCAGCCAACATGGAAGAATTGACCGAGGTGATCACAGCGGCTGAGTTTCACCCTAACCAGTGCAACACATTTGTCTACAGTAGCAGCAAGGGCTCCATAAGATTGTGCGACATGAGAACCTCCGCACTTTGTGACAACCATTCTAAATGTGAGTTCACTTTAGTCTTTGGTTCTTTTGTTGGAACTTTGATTGAGATATGCTATTCATTTTCGCCAGCCAACTTATTGTAGCCATTATATATTTTTCCTCAAGATCTTGGTTCAAACCAAAAAGGTTAAAGCCGTTTTGAAACTTCAGTTGGGTTCACGACCAAATCTTCTAGAACCATTATGAGAATCAGTCCAAGACTAGACCCCTCAAGGCCCAAAACCAGATAAAGAACCAGTTCCAAAACACAGAGTTACTCCAAGACCTGTTGGTCCAAGAACCAGTGGGTGAATTTTAATGAACAGAGAGTTTGTACTTTTGAAATTGAAAGTAGTCCTCCCAAACTTTTGGAGTTTGTGTCAAGATCAAACTCCCAAAAGACACTGGACACCTCTGCTATAACAGAAATCATTTCAAACACTGAAGCACTTTATACAGTGGCTGTTTGGAGCCATGGGTTCCAAGCAAATTATCTGAAAAAAATGTGAAATTGCCATGGCGCCTGTGGTTGAGGTAATTATCACCCTTAAGATGCTGGAAATTACTGCAGTCTTATCTTAAACTGACACCAAGATCCAGACCAAGACACCAAGTAATGAGATCCGGACAAATGCCATGAGATGTTTTAAGATCAAGACCTAACTCTGCTCCTGAAATGCTACTTGTTTCTCTCCATCAGTATTTGAGGAACCAGAAGACCCCAGTAATCGCTCCTTCTTCTCAGAGATCATCTCCTCCATCTCAGATGTGAAATTCAGCCACAGTGGACGCTACTTGATGACCCGTGACTACCTCACAGTGAAGGTGTGGGACATCAACATGGAGAGCAGGCCTTTGGAAACTTACCAGGTATTGGCAATGCAGATTGGACAGTGATCCATGATTAGTCATCATTGGTTTATAATGACATCAAAAAGTAGTTTTATCATCATTATTGGTCAAATACTAGGTATTGATCATCTGTGCTTTCGGTTCTACCTTTGACAGGTCCATGACTACCTTAGGAGTAAGCTGTGCTCACTGTACGAGAATGACTTCATCTTCGACAAGTTTGAATGTGTCTGGAATGGAACTGACAGGTCTGTCTAAAACAAGGGTGTCTGGTCCTTCTCCTGGATGTCCACCTTCAAGTGTTTAGCTCTATTCTGGAACTTTTGAGTAATCCAGAAACCCTTGACTAGCTTGGAGCCAATTTTTACACCAAGGTTGGGCAACTCTGGTCCTGGAGAGCCACTGTCCTGCAGAGTTTAGCTCCTTGTCTAATCAAACACACCTGAAAGATCTAACCCAAGTCTTCAGGATTGCTCGAAAATTGCTTAAAAACGGCAAGGTATGTTTAATTTGGGCTGAAACTAACCTCTGCAGGACAGTGGCCCTCCAGGACCTAAGTTGCTTATCCCTGCTCTATAGGAAGATGGACCTCCAGGATAAGGATTGGACCCCCCTGGTCAAAAGCAATCATTCACACCAGGTTTTTCAAATTGATCTTGGACTGTATGGTGCTGATATCAAGTAATAAGAACTAATTGTCTTATTCCTTTCCCATTAGTGTCCTAATGACAGGCTCCTACAACAATTTCTTCCGTATGTTCGATCGAAACACTAAGCGCGACGTCACTCTGGAGGCCTCGCGGGAAAACAGCAAACCCAGAGCCATCCTCAAGCCACGCAAAGTTTGTGTTGGTGGCAAGCGTCGTAAAGATGAAATCAGCGTGGACAGTCTGGACTTCAGTAAGAAGATCCTACACACTGCATGGCACCCCAATGAGAACATCATCGCTGTGGCTGCCACCAACAACCTCTATATATTTCAGGACAAGGTCAACTAGCATGTAGCTCTGATGTCTCCAGTTATCACAGCAACAAGAGGCATTATTTCTCTAGATGAACTGGGGGTGGAAAGGTTGGACTCACTAGCAGTGAACTTGAACATCTAGGTGAGCTTTGCCTTCTACAGCAGATTTGATACTGCACTGGATCTAACAAAACTTGCACTGCAACCATGGACAATGACACTGGCTGTTGGACTGCTTTTGTTTTTAATTTCTTCAAATCCCCCTCGCTAGAGGTTTATCGGTAATGCACAGCAATACAAAGAGGATCCTTTGACCTTTAATGTCATTAAAGGCCCTTTCACATGACTCATGTCATGGCTTGAGCACATCTCTCCAGCACCATTTGACCTCCATGAGAAGCGTCGTAGATGCCGTCATGGAAGGATGTTGCTAGGTTGGAAGAAAATGGGAAATGTACTGTGAAAATAAAGCAAAGAAAAATTTATTTGAGCTTAGAGCAGAAAAAGAGTCCTGCTGATTGCTTTGAGAGAAAAAAATAGAATGTGTTTCTCTGAATGTCATGATATGCCTTTGAAGTTGAGCAGCTGCACAGCCTCTTCCATCTTGCTTTGATTTTTGTGCTGGCGTCTCTCACGTAATGTCATGCAAACGTGGTAATCATTGGATGCGTTTTGAAAGCTCAACGAAAAGCCTAGTCAAATTTGACATTGAATGCTACAATATTTGCTAGAATATTTTAACTTCACGCTATTGTGTGCAATGCATTGAAGAGTCATGTGAAAGGGCCTTAAGATAATGAGAGGAAATGTTTCAACTGAGTCCGTATTCATCCTATATCCGATTCTTGCTTCTTGGCAGGACAGAGGATGCGGATGGCTTTGATAACTGCATATGTTGTGGCTGCTGTGGCCGTGAGGTCTCCCAACTTTTCAGCTTCTGAATTTTCATTTCCCGTTTTACTTAATGAAGGTGCATGCATCATTTCAAAACCCAGCTTATGGGTTGATTGATGCAACAAACAGGAATGGTGTAAAATTGAAGTAAACAATGTAGCATATGTATTAATGTTCTGCTTTTTTGTTCTAATTTGATAAAGAAAAGGGGGGAAAAAAACTAATAAAAATCAAGAGGAACACATTTTGTATTCTTTGATTTCATGGCCTCTGCAAATTACAAGATCACAACACAATTGCTAAAAAAAACTTAACAAAATGGTTGCATTTATTTCTAGCCAACACATACAGAGAAATATAGCAAGTCCAAATCAAACCACTTTAAGAAACATTTCACATGTACTGCAAGGTACACGACTCATTTCACACACTGTCTGCATTGGCCGGTTGTATTAACAGCCTGCTACAATTGATAATCCACAAGACTCTCACAAAAGGCTGCAGTACCAAGTGCAAGTAACAAGTACAAATGCATTCCCTGCCTGACGAATGAAGTTCATAGATTGACATTAACAATTTGCCTTGTGCTAGCCTACAACTAGTGGGCATACAGGGCATCATCTTGCACAGTTTGAGTAGATAGCACAGTGTTACAGACATTTAACATGTCGGTGTTATGATGAGTGTAGGGCTGGCTCATGCTCAGTCCTCTAAGGTCCACTAGGGCTTCACTTGGTGGAGCGGCGGCTGGGTTCTGAGGCGGTTGGGGGAGGTGGGGGTCCCCGGCGGTCCAGGTCCTCAATATAGAACATGATTAGTTTGCGGCGTTCTTCTGGGACGCAGTCTAGGACCAGGTAACGTTTATCATTTTGAAGAATTTTCTCAATATCTTTTAGGTGCTGGTCTGGCTCCTGGATCAACTTCCGTGATCTACGGAAAATACGATAGGGGTTCAACAGCTTTAACAAACAGAAGTTAAAACCTAGACGATAATCATTTTCCTAATAGGGCTAATTACATCTTTTATATATAGTCATCATTTGCTCACCAAGACATGATAATTTTTGAAAATGAAAGAAACGTGCGTACCTATACGTGATGAATTTGGTTTCTTTCAGGAGAGTTCTGAAGTCAGCTTTAGCTGTGATATATTTGTCCTTTATGTAATGCTCAAATTCACGTTGTTTCTTCTAGAAGAGATGATGGAAAGAAAGAAGTCATTGATGTTGATGTCAAGACAAAAAAGGCAGTATGTGACCCTGGACCACAAAACCAGTCATAATTGTCAATTTTTCGAAGCTGAATAAATAAGCTTTCCATTGATGTATGGACTGGTTTTGTTGTCCAGGGTCACATATGTCAACTAAACAATTCCACTCACTCTATCACTGCTGGAGAACTTGATGCAGCGTGGGTCATCTTTGATGATCTTCTTGACTTCCTTCCATGTGGTGGTTAGTGAGATCTATGATTAAATAGTTACATAAGCAGCGTGAACACGTCAACAACCCAAAGATACATATCCTAAAGTTCAAATAATTAAAAAATCAAATCAAATAATCAAAAAATAATGTTCAGATTTGATATTTAATAACTTAAATTTGACAATAAATTTTTTTATGCCTGGTACTTTATACAAGCTCAAAAGTTCAGTAACTCCATACAATAATAATTGTTCATCCCTGTTTTTCTTTCTTTGTACAGATAGCCATCTATTAAAGAAAAGATCTGACTCACTGGAAAGTTTTCAGAACATAGTAAGGTACATTAATTTACATTAAGCCATTTAACAGACCCTTTCACCAAATTAATACTAATATTCTTGTCACTAACAATATATAGAAGCAACAATCAAAATAATAACATATAATTAAAATATTATTAATCATTTAATATACTGTAATAACAGCAACATTATACATACACTACCGCTCAAAAGTTTGGGATCACTTGTAATGTTTTTTTAAAGAAGTCTCTTATGCTCATCAAGGCTGCATTTATTTGATCAAAAATACAGAAAAAAACAACAACAGTAATCTTGCAAAATGTTATTACAATATTATAATATAGAAATAATATAGAAATGTTATTTCTATTTTAATATACTTTAAAACATCATTTATTTCTGTGATGCAAATCTGAATTTCCATCAGCCATTACTCCAGTATAAAGTGTCACTTGATCCTTCAGAAATCATCAGGGGTTAAAGCAAAAAAAAAAATCCTGAGCCTGAACTTTTTTCCGGGGGTTGGGGGTTGCGGGGGCGGACACATACACAGGATTATTTGGCAAAAAAAAAAAAAGGAACATTATTTGAAAATGATTTTCCTTGAAACTAACTAGTAATTGCCATTACCATTAACTCTTGGCAGGCTCAGACTACAGATTATGGAGGGATATTTGAAACAGCAATACCAAGAAAGTTTACTCACTACAATATGGTGCAAACACATGTAACATTTAGGATGCTTTTGATATCAAGTTTTGTTGGTTAGCTTTGTCCTTGACAGGGAACAAGATGACCAACAATCTAAAACATGACATTTCTGAAATTGTTTTGTTCAAATGAAATAACGGTAAATTAAATACTAGGAAATGAATATAAAATAGAAAATATACAAAGACAGTTTACTACAGAAAACTACAGTTCAGTTCAATTAACAACAACAGAAACATTAAAATGGTCCAAGAACTGGTAACTTAAACAGGGTTCGTACAGATACTGCAAAATAAAATTCCAGGACTTTCAAGGACAACTTTTTTGGTTTTCAAGGACTAAAATCAGATCTCACTTATCAGTCAGTATTGTTATTATCTTTCAAATTCTAATATATAAACTAATAAAACAAAATGGTACAAATAAAGTGCAGCACATGCAAAGAATGCAATGACTGTGGCAACTTTAACATTTGAAAGGATACTATGGCAAAGTTATCGCTCTCCTTATTCAAACTGATTTTTTTTTTCATGAATATATAATTGACCTAAAGAATAAAGCTATATCATACACTTGGAAAATTATGAGCTTTATCACGCTTATAGACACTAGGGGTGTGACCATGGGCGACATTTGACTCTTGAGTCAGGGGGGGCAAGAAAAAAAAAATGGCAGCGGTTATTTGCACCAAGTGTAAATAGCGATAGAGCCTATTTACACTAAGTGCAGATAGCGATAGATTCTATTTACACTATGTTAAAATAGCAGGATTTTCTGCTATTTATACTACTTATTGGAAATAGTGGCAATTATCTGCACCTCAGTATTGTAGTACATTATACAACAGTATGCATTAATAATGTATTGAGTGTAAATTATAATTTTAATTCAAATTATTAAATGCATGCCACCTTATTGGGACAATAAAGCCCTCCCTACACCTACCCTAACCCTACCTGATACCTTATTTTCAACTTTTTGATTATTTCCTTCATTGTTATTGAAAATAAATGCCTTTCTGATGTGATATGAGATTTGAAATGGGAGAAAAAAAAGTTCGGTAAAAGGCGAATTCGAACCCGGGTCGATTGCGTCAGAAAGACCACGGGACGTGCTTTACCATCTACGCCACTGAAGCTGACGGTTGTCTGCCATCTTTAATAGTGTTGACCATCCCTAATCACAAATACACTATTTACACGGAGTGTAAATAGACACTCCGAAAAAAATAAAAAATAAAATATATATATATATATAAGTCTTACTGATCAAAAAACTTTTGAGCGGTAGTGTATAACAACAATTATTATTATACAAGTTATTATTATTGTGGTGGTTAAATTATTACATACAAACCATGGCATAATAATAATGATATTTAATATATTATAATAACATTTACACTATATATGACAACAATATTATATAATGTTTGTTGTTAAATTATTTTATAAAGACTTAATTTCTATATAAATACAATAATAAGAATAGTAATTACTATTATTATTAAATATATTAGAAAACAATAATAGTTATTAGAAAACAATGAATATATAATAATTATTATTTTAATATATTTACTAATAATAATCAATAGTAGTAGCAGTACTTACTATTCTTCTTCTTATATCTTTATCTAGAAATCAAGTCTTTATAAAATTATTTATTAATAACAACAACAACAGAAATCATAATGAATTATAGATTGTTGTTGTTGCGTGATCTTGAACCTCCGTCTCACCATGGAGGTCTCATCCAGCAGCTGCCTGAAATGTTCCTTCTTCCTCTTGGTAAGAGCCTCCACGTGTTCTTCAAACAATTTCTCCTTCCCATGTCGCTCCAGCAGAGCAGCAGACTCCCACCGGTGGTCTTTACGCAGATTGCGCCTTGTTTCTGACCAGGAAGCATCCGTTGACCTTACCTATATGTACAATAATAACGAAAAAATTAAAAAGTGTCTATGATTAATGTCATGTACAATGACAAATACAGCAATTGTCACTGACCATATCTGACATGAGTGCTTTAAAGTGCTGGACAGCTTCCTCTCGTTTATGCTGCTCTCTCTCTCTGTCAATCTCTTTGGTTTGTTCAGACCGAGCTCTCTGCACCTCCCGCTCTCTCTCCCTCAGACTGGCCTCGATACGAGCCTGCCGCTCCAGCTCTTTCTCCTTCTCTGCATCCATGTTCTACACAACACAAAGACACTTATATTAAATACATTTTTCTAGTAGCAGTCCAAGTCGTCTTGGTGTTTCGTTCTGATGAATCAATAAGACCAGGGACACTGTTCTAACCTTCGCCTGCTTCTCCACATACTGTTTGTACAGTTCTTCTCTAGCAGCGGAGCTCTCCACGGCTTTGTAGCGCGGGTCCGTCTCCAACTTGTCCTTCACTTTGCTCCAGCGCTGAGAGATGTCCACATGGTGGTCTGACAGTAAATCAAAGTAGTCCTGCTTCACCTGCAGCCAGAAACACAACTTGTCAGGGCTCAAATTCAACCTTAATTCTATCAACATCCTGTCGATTCAAGTGGACATTTCAGGATGGTTGTGGGAAGCCGTTGACAGACCTTTTCTACTTTGTTTTTGGAGTCTCCCTTGCCCTTCTTTCTCAAGGCTGTCATGAACTCGGTGAACATGGCCTCTCTGTCCTTCATCTTCTCAATGGCCTTAAAGCGAGGATCTTTAGAGTGTTTTGCTGCAAACTCAGTGAACGTGGTTCTAATAGGTGAAAGGAAAATTGGCATAAGTGGCAAGATTTCAGGAGGCCACACAATACCTGTACAACCTACAACA